TCCCCGGGGCGGGGGCGGGGGCGGGGGGTGTCCCCGTTTCCCTCCCGGCGCAAACAGCGGAGCGGGTTGCAACCAGCACGGCCGCGCTCTGTCCTGGCGGCTCTGCAGCCGCTTCGGGGCTGAGGGGGTGAAAAAAAGCGGGTTTTTGCAGCATAAATAAATCATCCCCGAGCCACGTTGGCGTTTGGGGTTTTCCCGGTGGTGCGGGGAAGGGGGTTTGGGCTTTTAAAATCCCGTCCGTTGTCATGTCAGGGAAGTGGAGGGCGAAAAAGGCGCTCGGTCAGATGGGAAAAGCATCCTACGGGAAAGGTGCAGCAGCTTTTCCCTGGGCTTTCAGAGTAAATGCAAACTTTACGCGGAGTTTTTCCAGAATCTGTAAGTGATCAAGCGGGGGAAACTGATACTGAGGCTTGAGCAGCTCAACTAGAAAAAATGAGCCTGTTCGGATGTAAAAACCTACATAGCTGGAAACGGCCAGAGTCACTCGCTGCAAGAAAATAATCGTTTTCATAGGGGAAATCGGGGAATCATAATGACATGGGAGTTGGTGTTCGTGACTGTAGGAAAACTGTACAAAAAGGGTCAATGCGAGATGTGTAAGGAGGTAGGAGAGTGATTTTTACATCCAGATGTGGCATTGGCAAGGCTGGTACTGAAGTACTGTATCTAGGTCTGGTATCCACTTTTTTCCCCTTTGTAATTAAAAAAAACCAACAACCCAATATCGGAAAATGGCAGAGGATGTGGAAAAGGCACAAAGTGATCTGAGGTCCGGAAGCAGTGCCTTGCAGTCAGGCGTCGGAGCTGGACTCGGTTAGAACGCTGTAAGGAAAGCAGGGGGTGATTTTGTCACTCTGTGTGGGGACTTCGAAAGACCCGCTCCGAGGGGTGTTGCTGCAGCAGTTTAAGGTGTTGCGGTCACTGGTCGTCGTGTAGGAAAGTCAATAAAAGAGTGAGTGAACCCGTGCCCCGGACGGGACGGTGCCAGGTCTGACACTGCAGCTGGGATCGCTGCAGAAGCTGGGTTTGAGGCACGACACCGGGCTGAGGCTGAGTGCCCGGTGGATTCTAGCCTCTGCTTTCTGCCACGTAGCTGGTACCATCCGCCTGAGCCAGTTTCAGCTTTAACAACTTAAAATAGCTTAGCAAACCCGAGTGGGGGACTGATCTGTCTGGGGGAGGAAAAATGTAAAAAGAAGTGACTTTTCAGCTGGGTAAGTTCCTTCAGCCACACCAGCGTGCAGCTGTACAACAGCCGGGCCAGTGCAGCGCAGAAGCGGGTGGTGGGGACTGAGGGGGCACGGGAGTCCCTAGGCCAACTTCTCTGTCCCTGCAGGAAGAAAAGTGACAGTACTGGAGCAGCTCCTTAGCAAAGGCACAGCGGGACTCAGCAGGTAGAAGCCAAGGACAGCCAAATACAAACCAGATGCAAGAGAGGCCCTTTAGAAAAGAGAAACCGCAGCTCCACAATCCAGGGGCTGGTCAGGCAGCCTGCCAGGCCCCGTGTCCCTGCCTCCCACTGCTGCTGCACACCCACTCCGGCCAGATCAGCACAGCTTTGCCGTTGGTCCGGTCGGAGAACTCATCCAGGCTCCTTTTTATTTTTTCCTGATTATTTTTAACCTGGGCAGTTCCCCGATCTGGTTCCCAGCCTAGGTCACAAGGTTTTCCCGCACAGCCGAGGAACGGTGCTCCGTGTCACAGGAGTGACTTCGAGGGGCAGAAACTGTGCAGAAATGCTGTATCATTGAACCACGCTTTGAGAAGGATTAAACACTGGGACAAACTGTCAAAGCAGGTGGCGGACTCTATCCCAGGGACTTTCTGTGAAGCCCAAGAGCTTTTTTGTACTGTGTACCAACTCAGACGTACCTCATTGTTCTCTGTGCAGTGACAAGTGGCCGGAATCTCATACATAACGTACGATCCATCAGCTTATATGAGCTCTTCTAGCTTGAATTTAATTATGATCCCTCAGCTTATATGAGCTCTTCTAGCTTGAATTTGCACAAACCCGATGACTGTAGTAATGAAATATTTCATATAAGTTGGCAGCCAGTGGGAATCCAGCTCTCAGGTGGATCGTATTTTTTTCCAGCTCTGTGTTCACCCTGCCAGCCTCTTAGCCTCTGCAGAACTGAAGCAGAGGAAGATTCATCTGGTGATGGGGGTTTTCTGTAACCAACTTACCTGAGATTTCTGGACCTGCATGGGCTAGACGTATTTTTTCCAGCACTAGTACAAAACTTTCCAAGATAACCGGGTTTCCCAGTGCTGGTACAAAGGCTGTGACCTACAAGATGTTCTCTGAACAAGTGCAGGTGAGGTGTTTCCAGACAGCGGTGACTGTTTCTCTCTGGTGGGTACAGAGTTACAGGGAACAGGGAGCACCTTGGGAACGTTCTTTGGGAAATGTTACTAAGAAAACTAATTGAGTTTTTAAAAATGTAAATATATAGATCAGGCAGAGAGCTTTGTATGTTGTTGACCTTCCACTGCTACTGTGTTTCACTGATACTACGCGAGACCCTGGTCTTGTTTTTCCTTTCTTATTCCACAGCTGTCAGTGTCCTACCACATGCATTTAGACTTAGAAACAGACCCAGATAGGTAGAGTCCTTTTTCTTGCTAGAACCTTAAAATGTTACAGGACAGTTGATGAAATTTTACGATAATCAATTACAGAAATTATCATGTCTTAACTCATTTGTATTTGGGTTTCTGCTCTGAAGCCAATAGGTAGCTTATGCGCCTCACTATTAAAGACAGCAAAATTCAAACTCTGTCTTCTTTCAGGTAGCTTTGAAACTGGCACGGATGGCTGAGCTTGTTCAGAGGGAAAGCAGCAACTACCTGGCGAAAGTGGGAGAGACTCCCGGAACGCGTGCACGGCTCTGAAGCAGGAGGTAGAGAACATTTATCTTTTCCGGCACACGTCTCTTACAGGGGTGAAATATTCACGGTCTTAGAGACCTACAAAGGAAGACTTCTCGGAACTGCAGGACTCCTGCACCCTGAGGGGTAGGAGCAGCCGTCACAGCACGCTGGGTTGTACCAACGTGGCACCTCAGCAGTTCTAGTCCTTTATTGTTGTGCTCTGCCTGAGTACATTCAGCCCGCACAAAACTGAATTCCGTTCTTAATGGACGTTTCCAAACCTCATAGTGACACATTTTCTTGGAGTCGTCCCGTTTCCCGGTGTTTTCCATCCTGAGGGAACCACTCATGGTATTGTGAGTGATGGTGTAGTTACAGTTATTGTTGTTTCAGCTATTCATAACGTTCAGTGGTGCACTTTCTTAATGGGGGTTGGTTAGTTCCCTCGTAGTTGCACATCCTGCCCACAACTGGCACTCGTGTTGATGTGCAGGCAGGAAGTTCCTCCTTCTGAAGCAATCATGGAGTGAGAAAGAGCTTGAGGGTTTGATGCTATTTTAAGAAGAGTTTCTCAGGCAGCTAAATTCAGTGAAAGAGATCTTTTCTGAGGTTTTTATTTCAGCTAACCGTTTACCAGTTTAGGTGTTGGTAGAACCATATAAAAATGCAGTACTTTACCAACAAGACAGACACAACTCAAGAACAACCTGCTAAGAGAGATTAACGTACATTTTCATCAACATGAAAGCCAGCAGAGCATACAGGAGGTCTATTTTGTTGAACAGGAAACAGTTTGAGCTTCCATTATCGATGGATGAGAGCGTAAAAGAAAAAAAAAATTAAAAATTGCTCATTACTGTGTAAAAGAAAAAAAAAAATTAAAAATTGCTCATTACTGTAGAAAACTTGCTAATCCAGAGAGGCAGAATCTGCCCCACAGTAGAAAAGTGAAAATATTATGACTAATCACACCCTGAAGAGAAGCAGCATCTGTTGCCTTCCTGAAAAAGGTGTGATGTTGCTAATAATAGCGAGTTTTCTTCCCCAGCCCTGTTGACCCACGTGTGGTAATTCAGATTGGTTTGCTAGGAGATGGTCTTACTGGTGCACCAGGTTGGTAGCAGAGTGGATGAAGCAAAAAATACAAGAGAACCTTAGTTTCCCTGAGAAGCTCTAGAAGGGAATTCCGTGCAAGCAAAGATCAAGAGCAAGTGAGAACAGACTATGAGGAACATGGAAAAAAGGGGATGAGAAGCGATCCACAGAACAGACGGGGAAAGGTGAGGTATTTAGAGCTACAAAGAGACACCTCTCTACAATATTTCAGGAGAAAATGCATGTAACAAGTAACACTGCCTCTTAATAGTTGCAAAAATGTAATTCGGCGAAAGTTTAACATCATTTTATTCAGGTAACAGGGGTTAAGGGAGAAAAGAACGAAACGTATTCTGGAGATGGGAGTTTCCCATGTCTGCGAACACGCATCTTCACATGTTTATAATGCTTGTTGAATGCTCACACGTGTTTGTGTGCACAGGTGAAAGGTGCAGGGTCTTAACACCAACCCTTCTGTGATTTCAGATGAAGATGTTTTGCTATTAAAGCAGTTCGGTCACAGAGGGTTCCAACGGAAAACTGCACCGGGACAACATCACGGCAAGACGCCTGCAGGCTCAAGTTCTGCTTGACATGGCCATGTTCTACTAGACCTGCCATGACGGCATTTTTTCCCAGTGTTCCCAACTGGATTCAAGATGCAAAGCAGGAGGAGGAAGAGACAGGCTGGAAATTAGTCCCCAGACCAAGAGGTGAAGAGACCGAAAGTCAGGGAAAATGCCAATGTGAAATATCGGAGACCTCCTTCACTAATGTGGACAAGCTGAGAACTCACACACTTTCTCATACTGAGCAGAGACCATACAACTGCCCTCAGCTGCACTGTGGCAAAGCCTTTGCTTCTAAGTACAAGCTATATAGGTAGGTAACTGCTGAGTGCCTCTGCCGAACAATGCTGCCCTACCAGAAGAGAGGGGAAAACCCCTCCATCATGTTTTTTTGCTTGAATTTCTGAGAAGGTGGAGGAGGGGGAATGCCCTTGTTACCCTGCAAAGCAGTTGAGTGCCAGACGTTACCATACTTGGCATCTCTTTAAGCACCTTCCAGAGAACCTCAGCTAATATTTTATCCTGAGCTCAAGCTGTTTTCTGTTTTACTAAGGAGGAAATTGAAGCAGAAAGTGAAGTTCACAGATTAAAAAACAAAATGAAAGCAAGAATAGCATTCGCATTTCATAAGCCCTACCTCTAACTTTAATCACAGGAATATTTCTATGGCAGCCATTGTTCTAGCATGGAGAAGTAGAGTTCCTATTTACATACTGAAATATAGCAGAGAATAATTAAATGATATGATCACTAGGAACTTGAAACTAGGTGAACTACAGTGTCAGGGAGTGTAAGATACCGTGAAATCAGTCCACAGTGGCTGTCAACAGACATTGCCACAGTCTGATGCCTCCTGATGAAATGAAGCCATCTCACCAGCAGACAAGCATTTCTTGTCATAGACTACCAAGGTTTTCTTTGTCATTTCCCCCTTTGATAGCCTCAACAGAGAGAACAGGAGCTGAGTAGACGACTGAAGTATACCTGTGCGGAGGTGATGCGTTCTAGGGAGGACGGGCACTGCTGAGACAGACTCTGTAACTGTTGCTTGAAATGTTGTGCTGCTGTGCCTGGAGAGTCCCCGCTGCTCAGGCTGTCAGGGCAGCATCTTTTAGTGGCGGTAAAATGCCATCTGGGATTTTTGTGGCATAAAGCGTAGAACGCAAGGAAAATTTTGAAAAAGTAGCGTGTGTTCTCTTAGGGGTTGGACGCTAGTCTAAACTTTCCTGCTTTTCTCCCAAAAGGCATATGGCCACGCACTCTGCTCAGAAGCCTCATCAGTGTATGTACTGTGAGAAGATGTTTCACCGGAAAGATCACCTTCGCAACCACCTCCAGACCCACGATCCCAACAAGGAGGCCCTCCACTGTCCTGAGTGTGGCAAGAACTACAACACGAAACTCGGCTTCAGGCGACATCTGGCCATGCACGCAGCTGCCAGTGGTGATCTCAGCTGCAAAGTATGCCTCCAGACGTTTGAAAGTACCCAAGTCCTGCTGGAGCACCTCAAAGCTCATTCTAGACGGGCTTCTGGTGGAGCGAAGGAAAAGAAGCATCCATGTGACCACTGTGATAGGCGCTTCTACACCCGGAAAGATGTGCGAAGACACTTGGTAGTGCACACGGGGCGGAAGGACTTCTTGTGCCAGTACTGTGCTCAGAGGTTTGGGAGGAAAGATCATCTGACCAGGCACATGAAGAAAAGCCACTCCCAGGAACTGCTGAAGATTAAGACAGAGCCAGTTGACATGCTGGGTCTCCTAAGCTGCAGCTCATCTGTCGCAGTGAAAGAAGAGCTGAGTCCCGTCCTGTGTATGGCATCCAGAGACATGCTAGGTGGTAAGAGCTTCCCTGGCATGTTGCCTGTGGGCATGTACAGCACACATCTCCAAACCATGCCAAGCTCAGGGATGCCCCATTCTTTGGTTCCTAATTCTCTTCCAATGGGAATGAGCTATCCTCTGGAGTCTTCTTCTCCCATCTCCTCCCCACCGCAACCTCCTCCAAAGTATCAGCTTGGATCTACCTCATATTTGCCTGAGAAACTACCCAAAGTAGAGGTGGACAGCTTTTTGTCAGACTTCCCTGGCAGCCTGTCTCTCTCATCTGGTGAGCCTCAGTCCTCTTCGCCTCAGCCACCCCCCCTGGATGAGGCTTTGCTTTCCAAGAGCCCTGCTAACCTTTCAGAGGCTCTCTGTGCTGCTAACATGGACTTTTCTCATCTTCTTGGCTTCCTCCCCCTAAATCTTCCTCCTTGCAATCCACCTGTATCATCGGGGGGATTGGTCATGGGCTACTCACAGGGGGAGACACAGCCACTGCTTACCACTTTGCAACATCAACCTCAAGAATCTCCTGGAGCTGGGGCCTCGCTGAACTTTGGGCCCCTTCATTCATTGCCCCCTGTCTTCACCTCCAGCTTGAGCACAACCACGCTGCCACGTTTCCACCAGGCATTCCAATAAGCTGAAAAATAGCACTGGAGAACAGATCTTTCAGTCACCCTTTTGCGGAGAGCCTTAAAAACGCACAACTCTTACTTCCCTTTAGGGTGTGAAAGCTTTGCAAAGCTGTTTCAGACAGGAGGTTTCTGATCTCTGGAGGGAGCACTTGTAGACCGGAACAGCAGATATCCCCATGCAAGTCCCAGTCCTGTACAGCGAAAAGAT